TAGACTGGGAAAATCTGCGAACTAAATCGCCGGAGAATTCTTTCGATCAGGAACTAGTTGATGGGATTATCACATGTGCTCTAGTGCAACATGTGAAAGAAGCAACAAGGTACGATGATGTTGCGAACCTCCATCATACGCCACTCTTAGGTAAAAGTGACCACGCAGTTTTAACTTTCGACTTCCATATAACTGCCAGTAATGAGGACGCGTCAGTCCAGTCCATACCCAACGTCTGGAAAGCAAACATACCAGACATCATGCACTCAGCATCGTTAATAGATTGGACAATAAACCCAGAGTCCTCCATTGAAACGGCCTTGGACGCATTTCGAAATTCATACTTAAAAGTTACCACACCTCACATCCCTTGGACTATACCAAAAGGGACGAAAAACTCATCAACATGGTTCAGTAGGGAGGATCAAGTGTTCTCTAACTACTTAAGCAACGTGTATACCATAGAAGCGCCCTTCTCGTCAGCGTATACAGATCCCCCCATACATACACTGGATAGCGTGACCATTAGAAAACTCGATGTCTTTGGTCTGCTAAATAAGCTTGACATAGGTAAATCCATGGGGCCCGATGAACTACATCCTGGGCTACTACAGGAATTATCTAACTTCGTTGCAAGCCCTTGAAGTACATGCTTTAACCTATCCGTTACGCAGGGTCGCTTACCGAAAGATTGGAAAAACGCCATAGTAAGTCCTGTCTTCGAAACAGGCACGAAACACAAACCTGAGAACTACCGCCCCGTTAGCCTAACTAGTGTGGTCGTTAAAAATATTAGAAAAGATCATTCGGAAGGATCTGTTTAAGTATCTCCATTGATTTCTGTAAGGCTTTTGACAAAGTTCCGCACAACCGGCTGTTATATAAGTTAAGAAAAGTCGGGATTGGAGGCAATTTATCGATGTGGATAAAAGACTTCTTAGTTGGGTGTCAACAAAGAGTTCGGGTGAACTCAAGGTTATCTAGCTGGAAAACTGTGCTTAGTGGAGTGCCCCAGGGTACAGTTTTGGGGCGAGTGCTATTCCTCTTGTTTAAATTGAGCACAGAGTTTGCGTTTTGATATAATTTAATACGAGCGTCTCAAAAACGCCTTGTAACGTTGTGCCAGTGAAATTCAACTGAACCCTAACCAAATCATCCTGCAGTTGGGTCACTGATTATCAAACAAATCATCGATCCTCGTCAAGGTATAGGACAACCAGCGTGCATCAGTTAATCGTACGCCATGGACTGGTCCATGCGGCAATGGTCTTACCTTCGCTTGTATCTACTTTAACTAATATATTTCTGTAATAACGTCCTCTGTGTTTCACAGTCTTCAAAGCATCTATGGTACATTGATGCATCAATGGGGTAATCCACGTAAAGTGCTGACCACGAGATGTGACTTCAACGTTTTCTGGTTCGTCAGGTCATTCCCGTTTAACTCGAATAGGCTTCAGATCATTTAGTTTCAGTTTCAGTTCGGGAAGGACAGGAGGCTCGATGGCCTATGTTAGTCCTGGCAATGGGGGTCTCTCAATTGATCCAATTTTCTTTTGAAAGAGTCGACGGATGGAGCCAAAACCACGTGCTGAGGTAGTGAATTCCACTCGTTGATGATTCGATGGGTAAGTCGATAGTCAGCTGACAAGTAATTCGTTCTCGGCTTGTGAACGTTTTTGGAGTGTCCTCGTAAATTCTCTGTTTTGGAAGACAAGAAAAATGAGGGCATGTTAGGTGCAAATTTATCACTATGCAATTTGTAGACTGTAATCAAGTCGCCTCTAGTTCTGCAATATGACAACGGGGAAAGGTTCAGCTTGGCCAGTCGAGATTCATACGGAAGCTTTGCTATTCCGGGAACCAGCTTAGTCGCCGTTCTCTGAACCTTTTCCAGAAGCTCACTGTCTTTTTTTAAACAGGGGCTAGCCGCTTGTATGCAGTACTCAAGTTTAGGACGAACGAACACTGTATACAAAGTCAAAAACGTCTTGGCGTCGACATGACTAAAAGCCCTACGTATTGACCATAACGTTCTAAAACATTTGGCGGCTATTACACGGCGGTGTGCAGTAGTCTTTAAGTCTTGGCTAACGATGACTCCCAAGTCATTACATATCTGGACGACAGGTAGCTCAGTGTTATTCATCGTGTATGTATCTGTGCCTTGATGACCGATATGCATCACAACACACTTGGAAGTATTTATCGGCAACTGCCATGTTTGAGACCATTCAGATAACTTCTTCAGGTCATTTTGAAGTTCTAAGCTATCACTCTTACATCGTATCGTTTTCCATCTCTTGACATCGTCAGCATATAGCAAGACCGATGATGATAGGAGGCAAGGAAGGTCATTTGCATACAAGAGGAATAGCCCCAAAACTGTACCCTGGGGCACTCCACTAAGCACAGTTTTCCAGCTAGATAACCTTGAGTTCACCCGAACTCTTTGTTGACACCCAACTAAGAAGTCTTTTATCCACATCGATAAATTGCCTCCAATCCCGACTTTTCTTAACTTATATAACAGCCGGTTGTGCGGAACTTTGTCAAAAGCCTTACAGAAATCAATGGAGATACTTAAACAGATCCTTCCGAATGATCTTTTCTAATATTTTTAACGACCACACTAGTTAGGCTAACGGGGCGGTAGTTCTCAGGTTTGTGTTTCGTGCCTGTTTCGAAGACAGGACTTACTATGGCGTTTTTCCAATCTTTCGGTAAGCGACCCTGCGTAACGGATAGGTTAAAGCATGTACTTCAAGGGCTTGCAACGAAGTTAGATAATTCCTGTAGTAGCCCAGGATGTAGTTCATCGGGCCCCATGGATTTACCTATGTCAAGCTTATTTAGCAGACCAAAGACATCGAGTTTTCTAATGGTCACGCTATCCAGTGTATGTATGGGGGGATCTGTATACGCTGACGAGAAGGGCGCTTCTATGGTATACACGTTGCTTAAGTAGTTAGAGAACACTTGATCCCCCCTACTGAACCATGTTGATGAGTTTTTCGTCCCTTTTGGTATAGTCCAAGGGATGTGAGGTGTGGTAACTTTTAAGTATGAATTTCGAAATGCGTCCAAGGCCGTTTCAATGGAGGACTCTGGGTTTATTGTCCAATCTATTAACGATGCTGAGTGCATGATGTCTGGTATGTTTGCTTTCCAGACGTTGGGTATGGACTGGACTGACGCGTCCTCATTACTGGCAGTTATATGGAAGTCGAAAGTTAAAACTGCGTGGTCACTTTTACCTAAGAGTGGCGTATGATGGAGGTTCGCAACATCATCGTACCTTGTTGCTTCTTTCACATGTTGCACTAGAGCACATGTGATAATCCCATCAACTAGTTCCTGATCGAAAGAATTCTCCGGCGATTTAGTTCGCAGATTTTCCCAGTCTACCATAGGTGCATTAAAGTCCCCTAGGATTAGACATCGACCACTTTGGGACCAAGTATTGAGACTGCTTAACAGGATCTCATTTGCCTGACAGCTTGGACTGCGATAGACCAAACCAATCAGCAGCTCTTGTCCCTTGGATTTTAAGCGAAGACTAACTAATTCACACGTCCCACTCTCATGGGATACACTATCGATAATGGTAAATGGGATAGCATTCCTAATGAATAGAGCTACTCCCCCTCCTTTGCGCTCTTGTGTTCTGTCGGCCCTTACTAACGTAAAGCCCTCGAAATCAAGTTCTATACTATCTGTAGACTGTGTCAGCCAGGTTTCTGTTACTGCGATTATGTCTGGCTTTGTAGAGTCAATCTGAACACCTAGTTCCGATCGCTTATTAAGTAAGCTTCGTGCATTGGTGTAACAGATCCGAAGCCTGTTTAAGTGGCTTCGTGCTTCACCCAGAGTGGCTTCGGCATCATTCTCTGTCGAAGTCTTACAACCCGAAAATTTACAATTTTCAGGTCCTTTTCTCCAGCGTCTAACCTATGTTGTAGTTCTTTCTCGGCTTCCCGTCTTTTAACATGGTCTGCCAACGGTAGGTCCTTTCGGATAAAGACTCCTCAACCCTTTAATTTGTGTCCGTTTTGTAAAATTAGGTCACGTTCGTTCGAAGAGCTGAATACTACTTTAAGCAGTCTGGAATGATTTGGTTTCGAGTCCGTTAGACTTCCTAGTCTGTACACCATTAGCAAGGTGACCCCGGTCATATTTTGACGCATGAGTTGATTAAGCAGCTGCCTAATAAGTACAATGTCATGCTCAAAACGAGCTTTAGGTTCAGTGCTATCGCTCTCCTTGATTCTATGAAAAATAGTTGATCTGTTGTTATGATCAGCTTTCGATTTTTCAACCACTTTTACAGGTGCATGTTTCCGTTTTTTATTCCTAGTTTTCTTCCTTACAACATTTACCTATTTGTCAACGGTGCTGGTAGAAGCAATAACAGTTGCGTGAAACCTAGTGTTGGGCTTTGTGGGGTTGTCGACGACCTGAGGGGTCGTGTTATGTTTACCGTTTGAAACCGATGGAGCCTTGCGATTGTGGCTTCCTGTTGGATCTCATATGGGAGACGGAGAACAGAAGACCCTACATTTCTTGAGCTTTTGTTTAAGGCAGGCCACTTTGGAGAGTGCTTTTTCTTAATAAAACGCATAAACGTTTTCCCCTTGTCGTATCGTAGGACGCGAGGTGACCTTATGATGGTATTTCGTCACTTTAATTGTGATGTGAGCGTAAATGTCTTCCCCCCCCCTCGAGCACTAATAATCTCCGAGGTCATAGCAAGGTGGTTCACAAACCGTGATCTACTAAACCTAGGGTGGGGTCCCGTTTTTCTCATCGAGTAGTCAATGACTGGAACGCCTCACCCGAACAAGTGGTATCAGCCCCATCAGTGAATATTTTCAAGAAGCTGGACCCTCACTGGAAGGCGGTCTGTCAGGATTAACACAGGTTTACCAACCTAATATTTGGTGATCTCCTGCTACTAGACACGGAAATCTGTTAAGCGAAAGCTTCTTCTATTCCGTCCACAACATTTGAACTTGTCAGCTTGACTATATAATGGTGACAAAACAGCCGCAAATTTAACATATTGCGTTATGGATACTTTGTTGTATCCAATAGTTATTGCTGTCGTTGTGTGTTTTGTAACTGTTATACTCTATTGGTTATCAGTCAGAAAGAGACTTAGAAACGTGTTGTTTATTGGTGCTTGTGATTCAGGGAAAACAACTCTTTTTTCTTCTATTCTATATGGAAATCCATCTTCCACTTTTACATCTCTCAATGAGAATGTTGGGAATCTAAAAACAGATAAAAAAGTATCGAGTATCCTGCCTTATATTGAAAGGCTCTTGTTCTTGTAGATGTTCCTGGCCATGACAAAGTTCGAAACGAGATAATGAACAAATATAAATCGGATACTTTGTATGTTTTGTTAGTTACTAATTAGTTCTAGGGCATTGGTATTTGTCATAGATTCAAAGTCTATTCAAAATGACGTAAAAGATGTTGCTGAGCAAGTCTTCCTATTCTGTATAACAATCACCGACACGTTTTGTAGGTTTTTGTACAATATACTTGTGGATAAGGTTTTTGTAAAGAATCGCGTAAAATTACTAGTAGCTTGCAATAAACAAGATGCTACCACGGCAAAAGGTGTCAGTGTAGTGACTCATTTGCTTGAAAAAGAATTGTAAGTCGTTCAATCTTAATACTACTTTGTGCATAATTATTAAACTATTTGTTCATTCTTCTTAGCGTTTGAAGGCTTTTTTGATTGAATTATATCATGCTGTAAGCAAAGGGGTTCTGGAAAAGATTGACACAATCGAATAAGTTGATCAGAATCTTTGAAATTACAGGTCATTTTTATTCAGATATTTGGGACGTAGGTTCTATACGTCCCTCTAAATTTGTACTGTAAAGATTCAGCTAGACATGTCACAACAGTACGAAGCTTTTCATAGGCTATTATATACGAATGCGATTCGCCATCGTAAATAAAACGTGACTAATAAAGTGGCTTTTTTCATTGTATTATTTGCTAGAGATATTGATTAAAGCTCTTTTCCAAATCATGTTTAACATCATAAGTGCCGATATACCCATCATTTATTGTCCTCAGATATTCACTTTCGTTTTCACTGTGATTGTGGTACAATATCGTACTTCAAACCATAGGTTTCGGTGTAGAAGACGGAGGTAGAATGATGTCAGGTAGTTATTGAAGTCCTAAATATCCACCGCGTAATAATTCACATTTATTTTCGAAAGCCGTCTAATATTAATGCACTAACGCTCACCAGATTACGGTTGGCCAATATGACACTTAGACTTACATCATTGTGAAGTTTTCATGTGACCTGATCATTTTCATAATCTTTGATGCATCATCACACTTGTTGGGACCACCCGTCCATCCATACCACCAATGAGTTGAGATCATCCTGTAATACTATTCTGTCTGACATACTGTGTGTGGATCTCAAAATCACTATGTCATCGGCGAAGAGTAGAAAAAATGACTTTGATACAGTTGGTAATGCGTTTACATAAAGTAAAATGAGAAGAGGATCGAGGATTGTGCTTTGGAGAACCCCACTTTTTACACGCTAAGAGAGCCCCATTTACCCTAACACTTTATCTCCTGTCATAGAAAAAGTCGCTTATCGAGTCTATGACCTTATAAAGGATTCCAAAACTTTCCAGTTTTAATTTAAAAATAGAATGGGAGACCTTGTCAAATGATTTACTTAGATCTATAATAATTATATCTACAGGAATATTTTGATCTTTTGCTTCAGCCCAGTCTTCCTTTGTGATAAGCAGATTTGTCAAACATAATGGGCCTTTCCTAAAACCATGTTGTTCCCTGAGTAAAAATTTATGCCCTTCCACATAGTTTATAACAACCATCAGAATAGTCGTTTCTATTAGTTTTACAACTGTACTGCTTAAACTAATGGGTCCAAAGTTACTAAATAAGTCTCTACTCCCCGCCTTATACACTGGACTAATTATTGAGCTCTTTCAGTCTCTTGGCAGTCTGGATTGTCTCAGAGACATATCAAACATTATGGCCATAGGTTCAGCAATTACATCTGATAGGGCTTTCATAATCCTAGGGTGAATATCATCAGGGCCACTGGACTTATCAGGTTTGAGATGCTGAAGTAGTCTTAAGACAGTATCTTTCTCAATAACTACAGGGTGCATCAACAAGCCGCCCTGATTACGATCAATTATTGGTTGTTTCTCATTAACGGTAAAAAACATCTTACTAAAATATTCCGATAAATCTTCAGCTTTTTCGGCACCATCTCTTGCCAATGTCGACTGAATTTTTTGTACCAAAAGTAGTAGGAATCCATCACTTCTCCATGCTCGCCTCTTTTTGTACGACGATAATATTTTCGGATTATTTTCACAATCCTTAAACAGTTGTTTTTCATGTGACCATCTGGTCTCACTTATTAACGCTTTACAAGCATTCCTAGTCTTACAATAACTGGATCTATACTGCTCTAAGCTAGTAGATATAAACATATTCCAATGCTTTTCCTACGTCTAAGAAGTTTCTTGACTTGGTTAGTTATCCATCGAGGACAATTATTTGGTCTGCGTGGTACTTGTTTACAGAACAACATACTACTAACTGATAGGACCTTCTTAGGTAGATTATTTTATATAATGTCAACAAAAACATCCTCACCCGAAAAAGGTGAGAAATATCTGACATGAAGCCTGGGCGTTTCTTGAGTTGCATTCAAAGTGCCCGATTCTAAACTTGTTCCATATATCTCCCAAACCTTATCGTCTGACTTTTTTTGATGTCATTTGTCCACTACCTACATAATGGCATTTCTGTTGGTATTGCAAATTTTGAGGTCTAGAAAGTGGTGATAAAGGTGGTAGAAAATCACGTGCTGAGTTTCACTTGTTGCCAATGAAACGTAGTTGGACAGTTTATTCATATAAAGCTTCACTTAAGTTGTCTAGGCAAGTTTTACTCATATTAAACAGTCCTAAACTTTAATTCATTTACACAGCGTATGTCATACTTGGGGAGGTTGATTATCAACTGACTGAATGTTCGGATAACCTGTTTGTCATTGGACAGTAATAAATATCATTTACTTGCACCAGGTCGTAAACTCTGTGGACCAAGTAATATACCTACACCACATACTTTTAACTTATTTCCACAACGTATATAACGTTATAGGGCATTCGTGAAACTGATGAACCGTAATACGTCATTTTGTCTTTGAAGGTCTGTACCGTTTACTGTTTACTTTCTGTTAATAGAATGTTTTTGTGACATTTTTTAAACTCAGGAATACTCTTACATTTACACGTACTGGTGCGCTTGCTGGCCTCGATCAGTCCACCATATCAACATTGACAAAGCCGGGAGTGACCTTCACTTTTGCAAAAAGTCGTTTGCCGGTGGATTTCGTCGAAATTTCTGCTACAAATAATGCTTCTGCAATTCATAAGTGGCTTGTGCAATTATAAGTTTGCGAGAAAACTTACTTTTTTTGTATTAAAAGATACATGAGTTCTCCTCTTGTTAATACATTTTTACCAACATTATGTTTCTTGTGAATATGCTGTAATTTCATTTCACCACTCCGTTGAATATTCATGGGTATTATCTATCGGTCAGATTACTTACGGATAATATATATTCTTTTGATGGTTCATAGTGAACTGCTACCTCGAAATGTTGTAAAATAAACTAGTGCACTATTGCTATTATAAAGTGTAGGTGACCCTTTAACAGCAGGATGCATGAAAATGGTACCAATTTTATTGACTAAAATTCCGGAATAATGAATTCTTATCATAAAGGTTGGTTTTGTTTCTTTTCAGGTATCAGTAGTGTTCCAGATACCAATAAACATTTGCCACGCTCCATCAGCATTCTTCTAGATCTTTGTCTTTCAGGAGTTTGGCATCCATTTCCTTTAAACTTAACTATGCAAGTAAACAGAAAACGTCTGAGGATTACCAAGTTGAGTAAAACTCATAACCCAAATTAAGGAGTTAGTAGAAGCGACCATACTGTTGTATCAACGTATTCCGTTTCATCCCTCATGATTGTCGATCTAATTAGATTATTATCACATAGTGAATCTACAGGCCATCTAATGTTTAGTAGATTAATATTACTTACTGAGCTTACTCGACTGATGAAATAGCTACCAGATTCACAGGTCATTAGAAACCCAGTAAACATTGTTGTGACAAAAAGATGCGAACTATATGCAACAGTAAAATTAAGAATAAACTGACGGAAGATTTGACTCTAAACCTAGGAAGCCTCATTCATCGTACAAAGCTAAGACGTTAGGTTAGTTGAGAGTTGGGTAGAGGTTGTTAACATTTTGGGAGAGTATATAGGCGTTAAATGTATCAGCGTAGTGACAAAGGTTTCTACACAAGTTTAAGTTCTCACCAGCTCTTTGGTATTAAGACATGAAATTCCTCACAGCATTCCAACAGTGAATAAAAGTAGGATCTGCAGTGAAAATATGCATCCCAATCTTCGTTTACGGGAATGCTCTGACAATGCAGTCTGACAGATGCTACGGAGGGTTGTTTTCCACGCTTGTGTACATGGGCAGGGATAGCAAACCATTTTTTACGGTTAGGATTACTCATAATTATTAGTCAGTTAAGGTCCTCGCGAACAATTTGACCTCAACAATTAATTCAATGGATTCCATGACAAACGTCAACAATATACGATTTGATGCAACGCAAATCAATCCAAGCTGTCACACTTCGAATAATCATAGAGAGGAATATTATCACCCGCAATGGAGATCTAGATATAAGAAATACAGTCCAAAAAGGGAGAATGAAAGGCCAGAGGTAATATTCAACTGAAAGTATGGGGAAAAATAGGGAATGAATATCAGTGCTTCTACACTGTTAGATTTCCTGCCGTAAATTACGACTTGCAAGGTACTCAACCAGGAAGTCTGGACCTCTAGATACTATTCAAACCAGTGGTCAACGATTTTTGTACAATATACTTGTGGATAAGGTTTTTGTAAAGAATCGCGTAAAATTACTAGTAGCTTGCAATAAACAAGATGCTACCACGGCAAAAGGTGTCAGTGTAGTGACTCATTTGCTTGAAAAAGAATTGTAAGTCGTTCAATCTTAATACTACTTTGTGCATAATTATTAAACTATTTGTTCATTCTTCTTAGCGTTTGAAGGCTTTTTTGATTGAATTATATCATGCTGTAAGCAAAGGGGTTCTGGAAAAGATTGACACAATCGAATAAGTTGATCAGAATCTTTGAAATTACAGGTCATTTTTATTCAGATATTTGGGACGTAGGTTCTATACGTCCCTCTAAATTTGTACTGTAAAGATTCAGCTAGACATGTCACAACAGTACGAAGCTTTTCATAGGCTATTATATACGAATGCGATTCGCCATCGTAAATAAAACGTGACTAATAAAGTGGCTTTTTTCATTGTATTATTTGCTAGAGATATTGATTAAAGCTCTTTTCCAAATCATGTTTAACATCATAAGTGCCGATATACCCATCATTTATTGTCCTCAGATATTCACTTTCGTTTTCACTGTGATTGTGGTACAATATCGTACTTCAAACCATAGGTTTCGGTGTAGAAGACGGAGGTAGAATGATGTCAGGTAGTTATTGAAGTCCTAAATATCCACCGCGTAATAATTCACATTTATTTTCGAAAGCCGTCTAATATTAATGCACTAACGCTCACCAGATTACGGTTGGCCAATATGACACTTAGACTTACATCATTGTGAAGTTTTCATGTGACCTGATCATTTTCATAATCTTTGATGCATCATCACACTTGTTGGGACCACCCGTCCATCCATACCACCAATGAGTTGAGATCATCCTGTAATACTATTCTGTCTGACATACTGTGTGTGGATCTCAAAATCACTATGTCATCGGCGAAGAGTAGAAAAAATGACTTTGATACAGTTGGTAATGCGTTTACATAAAGTAAAATGAGAAGAGGATCGAGGATTGTGCTTTGGAGAACCCCACTTTTTACACGCTAAGAGAGCCCCATTTACCCTAACACTTTATCTCCTGTCATAGAAAAAGTCGCTTATCGAGTCTATGACCTTATAAAGGATTCCAAAACTTTCCAGTTTTAATTTAAAAATAGAATGGGAGACCTTGTCAAATGATTTACTTAGATCTATAATAATTATATCTACAGGAATATTTTGATCTTTTGCTTCAGCCCAGTCTTCCTTTGTGATAAGCAGATTTGTCAAACATAATGGGCCTTTCCTAAAACCATGTTGTTCCCTGAGTAAAAATTTATGCCCTTCCACATAGTTTATAACAACCATCAGAATAGTCGTTTCTATTAGTTTTACAACTGTACTGCTTAAACTAATGGGTCCAAAGTTACTAAATAAGTCTCTACTCCCCGCCTTATACACTGGACTAATTATTGAGCTCTTTCAGTCTCTTGGCAGTCTGGATTGTCTCAGAGACATATCAAACATTATGGCCATAGGTTCAGCAATTACATCTGATAGGGCTTTCATAATCCTAGGGTGAATATCATCAGGGCCACTGGACTTATCAGGTTTGAGATGCTGAAGTAGTCTTAAGACAGTATCTTTCTCAATAACTACAGGGTGCATCAACAAGCCGCCCTGATTACGATCAATTATTGGTTGTTTCTCATTAACGGTAAAAAACATCTTACTAAAATATTCCGATAAATCTTCAGCTTTTTCGGCACCATCTCTTGCCAATGTCGACTGAATTTTTTGTACCAAAAGTAGTAGGAATCCATCACTTCTCCATGCTCGCCTCTTTTTGTACGACGATAATATTTTCGGATTATTTTCACAATCCTTAAACAGTTGTTTTTCATGTGACCATCTGGTCTCACTTATTAACGCTTTACAAGCATTCCTAGTCTTACAATAACTGGATCTATACTGCTCTAAGCTAGTAGATATAAACATATTCCAATGCTTTTCCTACGTCTAAGAAGTTTCTTGACTTGGTTAGTTATCCATCGAGGACAATTATTTGGTCTGCGTGGTACTTGTTTACAGAACAACATACTACTAACTGATAGGACCTTCTTAGGTAGATTATTTTATATAATGTCAACAAAAACATCCTCACCCGAAAAAGGTGAGAAATATCTGACATGAAGCCTGGGCGTTTCTTGAGTTGCATTCAAAGTGCCCGATTCTAAACTTGTTCCATATATCTCCCAAACCTTATCGTCTGACTTTTTTTGATGTCATTTGTCCACTACCTACATAATGGCATTTCTGTTGGTATTGCAAATTTTGAGGTCTAGAAAGTGGTGATAAAGGTGGTAGAAAATCACGTGCTGAGTTTCACTTGTTGCCAATGAAACGTAGTTGGACAGTTTATTCATATAAAGCTTCACTTAAGTTGTCTAGGCAAGTTTTACTCATATTAAACAGTCCTAAACTTTAATTCATTTACACAGCGTATGTCATACTTGGGGAGGTTGATTATCAACTGACTGAATGTTCGGATAACCTGTTTGTCATTGGACAGTAATAAATATCATTTACTTGCACCAGGTCGTAAACTCTGTGGACCAAGTAATATACCTACACCACATACTTTTAACTTATTTCCACAACGTATATAACGTTATAGGGCATTCGTGAAACTGATGAACCGTAATACGTCATTTTGTCTTTGAAGGTCTGTACCGTTTACTGTTTACTTTCTGTTAATAGAATGTTTTTGTGACATTTTTTAAACTCAGGAATACTCTTACATTTACACGTACTGGTGCGCTTGCTGGCCTCGATCAGTCCACCATATCAACATTGACAAAGCCGGGAGTGACCTTCACTTTTGCAAAAAGTCGTTTGCCGGTGGATTTCGTCGAAATTTCTGCTACAAATAATGCTTCTGCAATTCATAAGTGGCTTGTGCAATTATAAGTTTGCGAGAAAACTTACTTTTTTTGTATTAAAAGATACATGAGTTCTCCTCTTGTTAATACATTTTTACCAACATTATGTTTCTTGTGAATATGCTGTAATTTCATTTCACCACTCCGTTGAATATTCATGGGTATTATCTATCGGTCAGATTACTTACGGATAATATATATTCTTTTGATGGTTCATAGTGAACTGCTACCTCGAAATGTTGTAAAATAAACTAGTGCACTATTGCTATTATAAAGTGTAGGTGACCCTTTAACAGCAGGATGCATGAAAATGGTACCAATTTTATTGACTAAAATTCCGGAATAATGAATTCTTATCATAAAGGTTGGTTTTGTTTCTTTTCAGGTATCAGTAGTGTTCCAGATACCAATAAACATTTGCCACGCTCCATCAGCATTCTTCTAGATCTTTGTCTTTCAGGAGTTTGGCATCCATTTCCTTTAAACTTAACTATGCAAGTAAACAGAAAACGTCTGAGGATTACCAAGTTGAGTAAAACTCATAACCCAAATTAAGGAGTTAGTAGAAGCGACCATACTGTTGTATCAACGTATTCCGTTTCATCCCTCATGATTGTCGATCTAATTAGATTATTATCACATAGTGAATCTACAGGCCATCTAATGTTTAGTAGATTAATATTACTTACTGAGCTTACTCGACTGATGAAATAGCTACCAGATTCACAGGTCATTAGAAACCCAGTAAACATTGTTGTGACAAAAAGATGCGAACTATATGCAACAGTAAAATTAAGAATAAACTGACGGAAGATTTGACTCTAAACCTAGGAAGCCTCATTCATCGTACAAAGCTAAGACGTTAGGTTAGTTGAGAGTTGGGTAGAGGTTGTTAACATTTTGGGAGAGTATATAGGCGTTAAATGTATCAGCGTAGTGACAAAGGTTTCTACACAAGTTTAAGTTCTCACCAGCTCTTTGGTATTAAGACATGAAATTCCTCACAGCATTCCAACAGTGAATAAAAGTAGGATCTGCAGTGAAAATATGCATCCCAATCTTCGTTTACGGGAATGCTCTGACAATGCAGTCTGACAGATGCTACGGAGGGTTGTTTTCCACGCTTGTGTACATGGGCAGGGATAGCAAACCATTTTTTACGGTTAGGATTACTCATAATTATTAGTCAGTTAAGGTCCTCGCGAACAATTTGACCTCAACAATTAATTCAATGGATTCCATGACAAACGTCAACAATATACGATTTGATGCAACGCAAATCAATCCAAGCTGTCACACTTCGAATAATCATAGAGAGGAATATTATCACCCGCAATGGAGATCTAGATATAAGAAATACAGTCCAAAAAGGGAGAATGAAAGGCCAGAGGTAATATTCAACTGAAAGTATGGGGAAAAATAGGGAATGAATATCAGTGCTTCTACACTGTTAGATTTCCTGCCGTAAATTACGACTTGCAAGGTACTCAACCAGGAAGTCTGGACCTCTAGATACTATTCAAACCAGTGGTCAACGATTTAATAGTGATTTCCATTCACTTGTTTTTCGCAACCAACTTCCAGCCAGCATTGTGTCGGGAGCAGCGGCCGGTCACACGTGGAACATGTCAATGAGGTTTCACAGCCCCATTTTTATCAAACAAGCCTAAAGCATACTTTACATTTTTGGTGGTTCCACTATGTGCAAGTAATACTTCGAAGAGACAACCGAATGAGTACAGCCTATTTAGTGGCCCATGTTTCATAGCAATATAGTGCTGCACAATATATTCACCCATTTATAGACGAACGGACATCTATTCTGCAATCATTAATATCCTGAAGAAATAAGTATATATACATTTGCGACTGTACAGCTTCGAAAATGAATTCGCCGAAAAGAGAACTCGCTGAGTCAATCTTCCTTATTTAGTATTCTGCAGGTCACGCATTATAACAGATGAGGACGACCACTTAGAGCCACTGTCTTAACCAGGGCTTACAGTACATGGACAAGCGTACCTTCTGCTCTTATTGACTACTTCACTATGACCAAGCTTAGTATTGAAGTAAACGACTTCTTAAGCAATATTCGGGAAACACCTGACTACTGAGTTCTTTGTTCACATACTAATTAGCTTGTTTCCTGTCAGATGACTCCTGATATCGATTCTTACCATAAGTAGTCTATATCCATCAATCACCACACTGACCTGTCGTGAACTCTTACTTGCGACCCAAGTGGATGTGGGACCCATATTTGTATTTATTTAGTCCTTCATATCCTGACAATTAAGGACTATTACATGATTGAGTTAGTTACTTTGTTTTGTTTGACTTAAGTGCTTACCAACCCTTGTTAATTTCTTGAAATGCCCCGAACTCTGTTCGTCAACTTCCTAACTGGAGAGAAATATTTACTTTGCAACTTATCTTTGTATTTACAGTACTACTTTTGGAAGTCGTTTTTGAACTAAATCTGGAGCAGTTTTTCCGTACTTTCAGTCAGCCTCAACGTATATTACATCATGTTCAGGACATAGTTAACAAGTTCGAGCACAACTAGTCGAGGGAGGGTTAAAATTCTGTCGACATTTTCACCAGAATCATGTTATCCCCACCCTCATTTCATCTAAACCAATTTCTGAGGACCACTTCACGGCAAAAGTGGGTGCACCCGACAAAAACGTAATCAGTGCCGGATTATATGCAGGCGATGTAGTTGAGTTTCTAGAAGGCTCTGACCGGATTCTTGGCACAATTGATGGGCGTCAGATCTGTCAACCAACGTAGTTGAGTGTAATTTGCTGAGCCAGACATCGAACTGCAGTTAACGGTCCCGAAACGTTGAGGGTAGATGTTTGGTTTCAACTTCCATTGCTCAGTAGTAGACAACTACAAGAGCTAATATCTTTGATACAATATTGGGCAAGCACATCAACGTACGAGCATCACAGAATATCTGCTTAGTCATAACCCAGAACTTTCGCCATTGTTGGCTTTTGTGTGGATTATGTTTCTAGTTTTTAGATTCTCGCCAATGCAATGTGCTCTGAGGCAAATCTCGATTCTTCTAATTCCATTAAATCAGAACCTCATGCTGCTAAATCTCATTCTTCAAAAATTACTACCAACCAGCTGGAGTATATTAAAAAAGTGGTTGGGCGACTATTTAAAGAATAGATTGTATGGCCATTTACAAGACCAGTCGATCACCAGCGGTTAAACCTTCCAGACTATCCCAAAATAATAAAACACCCAATGGACCTTGGGACGATAAAACAGCGGCTACATTTAAAATTTTATCACTCCTCTTCAGAATGTCTCGATGATCTTTTCACTATGTTCCGAAATTGTTATATATTCAACAAGCCAGGTGATGATGTAGTTGCAATGAAGCTTGAGCAGATCGCTAGAGAACGCCTTAAATTTATGCCGACTCCTGAGAACGCACTAAAAACGCAGGCAGTTTGAAGGGAATATGTCAAGTCGACAAATAGCTGTCCTCAATTTTAGAGGTGAACGAAGAATTTTAAGGTAACCAGTCATGCCAAGCTAGCTAAGAATAGCCCTTCCAAAATAATTGAAACATTAGCTTCGCATAGTTTCTGACGTGCACAATACAGCAACTCAACTCCTTGTAGTATAGATATATTCCAGCTAACACTTCCGGCAAAACTGAATTTTTCTGCAATTCGTATACAGATATATTATTTCTGGTTTTAACAGGGGCGTACGGCAAATTTGATAGAATGTTTATATTATCTTTTGCTAACAATGCGATTGCAGATAACAAGATGGTGATATAGTGCATTCGGCCGAGTGAAGGATATCAATGTTTAAGACATAAATCTATTTGTAGGGGAGTTTGGAACATAGTAACAGCTGGGTTCCTTACATGCTAATGATATACGGACCTCAATGGGAAGAAAATCAAAATCGGTCTGCGTAGAGTAGGTGAAAAAGATTCTTTACTCTTAATTCACTTTATGAAAAGTCTTATTAATCTAAACTCCCATATAAACATGTTACAAAATGGTATGAGATGAAGCTGCCTGATCAAGCAGGTTTTTTATTTTTACCGGACACCTATACTACATATACAATCCTGAGCAGAACTAGGGAATCCTGATGTCAATGCGATTTGAATCTTTATATTTTAACACAATGACGAATTTCTTAAAACTAAAACGAGTGGAATTTAGAACAATTGTGACTGTAAGTTACAACTACATTACTAGTATCCCACTTACATATACTGAGATTCACGGTGCCGTGACATTGGTGCGCACCACCAACAAGAATTACAAAATGC